GTCAATCTGCCAATTCATTGCCTCTAATTTACCAAGCAATCAAGTAACAAAGCACAGCTATTTTCTCCAGAACAAGCATGTGACAAGAGAAAAAGGTTACAAGACCTACCATGCGACGTTTCTGCTCTCTTTGTTCTCTCTCGATCAGTTCAAGTAGAAAGTTGCAAGCCTGGAACAAATCAACATATTTCTCATTGAAGGATTTCCAAACAATGCACACTAACCACTTTCGCTCTGTACACAGCCTTGGGCGTGTTGCACTCTTTTTCTTTCTTGGCTAGCGACTGGCCTTCCCTGGAAGGGTGGTCATTATGTAAGAAAGCAGAGATTTGCAAACAATAACAAACAAAAAGTCTCATTGGCAAATCGGAACTCACCGCATGCGTACATATTTACCGCCAGCTAGTATTCTCAAATATAACGGTTTTATGCATTCTGGAGGCAATGGTCTAAATTTTGCCTTTTCGTCCAACTCGATCAGGTCCTTGCAGATAGGAAGTTGGAAGATATATTCCTCAAAAAATTCAATTCCACTTTTGATAGAAAAATAACATCATGAACTTTCTTGACACTGAGAAAAACACATGAAATTAAGATATAACACAAAAAAGATTACCAGATTCTTTTCGATTTTTTCAATCTCCTCTTCGTTATTATCAGTAGAAATCCTGCCAGCGATGAATAGATCCACATGGCCAAGAGTGATCTCACTGCAAAATATGTTGGAAAGTTAGAATATTCCATAGTCAGTTCATTCAATTGCAAGACGTCTTTTTATCCAAAGAAATAATCATACAGCGAGCTTCCCAACTTTGAAAAGAAGATGCTACCAAAGTTCATGCTCAGATATTTGCCAAAAGTGATCTTCACTACGCATACAGCGCATATGCAACTGTTGGATGACTTTATGATCTTCGATCACTATGTGGTGAAAAGGATCGATCTCTCGAGGAATAGACATCACGACGCTAGCATACACCTAGTAACACCATGGGATAACAAAAAAAAACATGGCCTTCTCAAAGAGTCCTGC